CTTCTCAGAACAGGCCATAGTTGTTGTTGAAGTTTGGTATTTTTTTTTTGTCTGAATAAATATTCTTAAAGATTGTTGTATATGATATGTGAGAGTGTTATTGTTATTGGAAATTAATTTTAGTAGTAATACTTTTTAAAGTTTGTTTGATTTGAAAGTAATTTTGTCCTACTTATTACTATTTGTTAAGAAGTACTATCAAAAACTAAGTAGAGTCACTTTCTTTAGAGATTTGATACTATTAATATTTTTTTAGTTGGTTTGATATAGAATTTTATGTTGCAAAAACTAAGAGAGAAATAATCAAGAAGACATACTTCTTGTAACTTAGGTTAGCTTGCTTCCATCTGTCGTATTTTTTATGGATAGAGTTATTTGTTACTCGTTGGTGGTGGTGGTGGAAAATACCAGGTATGTTGTGGAATTAGTCGAGTTTTTAGTCCAAATAACTTTATCTTGCTTCCTTCTGTTTTATTATCCTTAGTAGATAGAGTTACCTGTTCGCTAGTCGTATGTATTCCATGGAATTAATTGAGTTTTTAGTCCAAATAACTTAGCATCCTTCCTTCTGTTCTATCTTGGTAGATAGAGTTATTTGCTATCCTTCCTTGGTGGAAGGGTGCAGGTATCTCGTGAAATTAGTCAAGATGCGGGTAAACTGATTCAAACACATAAAAAAAATTAACTTAGCTTAATCAGGTACATTTTGCCATTTCTCTCTAAATTTTTATTTTTATATTTTTTTTTTGTTTAGGCAGAGTGAGGCTTGCTAGCTAGTAAAAAGTTGTCAAGTCAAAATCAAGAATGAAAAGGGAGTTAAATGAGGTTTATTATGGTGGCAACAAAGAAGATGTGCATGTATTTGAGAATGTTAATATGGTGCCTACTGATTTTGATCCTATGGATGATACAGATATTTGGCTAAATGGAAATTTCTCTAATGATTTTACTTCTCTTCAAGATTTTCCATGCATGTCTTCTTCATCATCAACTTCCAATTCCCTTCCTACTGAACAATCTGATCCATTTTCTAGTTGGGCTGTTCAAAAATCTGATGCTGATGAACAAAATTTCGACACAATTAGTGATCAAGAATGTCTAAATGTGATGGATTTAATCGACGGGGATCATGAATTTCTTGACCCTATGATCTCTTTTTTCCATAGTGGAGAAAATCAACAACAAAAAGAACAAGCAAATGATGAGCAAGTGTCTATTTTTCAAGGGGATAGTGAGCTTGCACTTATGTTTTTGGAATGGTTAAAGCAAAACAAAGATAACATTTCTGCTGAAGACATGAGGAGTATTAAGCTTAAATGTTCGACAATTGAGAGCGCGTCAAAACGATTGGGAAGTACTAAAGAAGGGAAAAAACAGTTGTTGAGACTCATTCTTGATTGGGTTGAACAACATAGGTTGCAAAAGAAACAAATGAGAGAAGAACAGAGTCTTCAAAACTCTGCCCCTCTTAACTTTAGTAATCCAAATGCTTGCTTTTATAATGCCTCGTTCCCCGATTCGTCCCCTGTAATGACAGGGCCAATACAGGGGTACATTGGTGATCTGTATTCTAACGGATCTTTATTCGCGCCTCCTTATAATCAAACAATGAGTGGAAGTGCAACTTCTCGGTCTTGGTCTCCATCGCAATTTACAATGGTGACCGCTTCTCAATACAATCCATTTCCTGATAATGATAGTACTAATAATGTTACTATACCTGATCAGCCTTTATTCAGTGCTCAATATGATCCGTACCAAGTTTTCGATGGGAACAGTGAGAGATTGGCAAGGTTGGGCACTTGTGCTACTAAAGAGGCTAGGAAGAACAGAATGGCTAGGCAGAGACGAGTGCCGTTGCATCATTATCGCCATCAGACTCAGAATCAAAGACAAATTAGTAATGAGAAAAGTGTAATGATGGGTGGAAAGATTAATAATTGTGCAATGTCTCGAGCTAACAGTCTAGGAAATTGGGTATACTGGCCTTGTGCTGCTGCTGCTCCGCCAATCGCCATGGTTCCATTGGCTGATACTCCGCAAGCACTTCCTATGGAAAGGCCAGCGGTGCAATCACAAAAACATCAGAAACATGGTTCTACAGACAAAAGACAGGTTGGTTTTATTAGTTTCGGCCAAAAAATATTTTTTGAGTTTAACTTATATACACTAACAGTAACTTGGAAGAAAATGAGTCGGGGATTTACAAGATCGGGAGCCGAACCCTCACTAACAAGGTGAGAGTTCAGGTAGTTGGTTCAACCAAATGGCCTATTAGGATCTCCATTCACATGCTGTGTATATAAATTACAAATCACCCGCTATAGTAATTGTAAAGATCATTAATATATATGTGTCAGACGCTTTAAATTTCGTGTGGATTTTCTTCGACAGGCTTGCAAAACAGAGAAGAATCTCAAATTTCTCCTGCAAAAAGTGCTGAAGCAAAGTGATGTTGGCAATCTAGGAAGAATTGTGTTACCTAAGGTACTTTAGTCAACGTCGTCATAAATTATGATATATATTCCCATTTGGTAATTATAGTATGAATGATTAAATGGATAATTGAACATTTTGTTTATAAGTAGAAAGAAGCAGAAAGTCATCTCCCACAACTTGAAACAAGAGATGGAATCTCAATTGCCATGGAAGACATTGGAACTTCTCGTGTTTGGAACATGAAATATAGGTACACTGACTCAAAATAATCAAGCTATCTTTTATTACATTTGCTCGATTCAATTGTTTTCCTTTAATTTATAGTCATCTTGCTTTTATAATTATTGGTTTTTATAGGATTTTAGTTAAGGTGTGAATGTGAAATCGAGGGAAAAGAATACCTTGCTTATATATAGAAGTACTTCTTCTCGCTCTTAAATAGTTGCAAAGAAAGTCTTATCCTTGCATCGTCGTCGCTGCTCAGCTTTGGATTTGGTCAAATGACCTGATTCATTTCTGCATTATTTTTCTGAAGGATAAATGCTCGAAACAGTATTTTCCGAACAGGCTTTCACAAATGGGACTTCTCACACCTATTGAGTCTCTTACTCGTATAAATTAAAGGCTTTGTTTCAGGTTTTTACACACCGAAAAAAATCTGGAAACTCTCATTGCATTTCTGCAAATTTCTACATCATTGATAACAATTTTGTGTGTTTTGTTTTCAGATTTTGGCCAAATAACAAAAGCAGGATGTACCTTCTCGAGAACACAGGTGTGAACACAGTCGACCCAGCTCTTGCGTAGCATATTCATTAATATATAGTACTAAGTAATTTTTTATTGCATCTTTTTTCCCGATTCTTGAAGGTGATTTTGTCCTTGCTAATGGACTTCAAGAAGGTGATTTCATTGTAATATACGCCGACATAAAGTGTGGCAAATATGTAAGTCCATATATATATAGTGCTTTAGTTTTGTTATCACTCTAAGTGTGTAATTATCTTTGTCATTTGAGTTTAAACTGTCGAAATATATATATATATATATATAACAGTTGATACGAGGAGTAAAAGTGAGGCCGAATGGAGCAAAATCAGACAGCACGCAGCCAGCAAAGAAAATCGTTCGTAAAATAGCTGCTGTTGATTCATCTCCATTTGCACAGGCTGTTCGATAGTCCAGGAAAAGAGAAATTAATCTCAAACAAGTGAGTTTGCTGTCATCCTTTTTCTTTTCTTTTTTACAAATTAGTACTTTATTTAGTTAAGTAGAATTATCTATAGATGACCCTGACTCATGCAAATGACATGTTTAAGGGGTTCGTAATTGTTAGCAAGGATACTGTCATATATATGTGTGTGTATGTTATAATCTGAATGTGTGGTATCATTTCCATGCTTATCAATGTAATGACCACCATCGATTGTAATTTAGTTCAAGTTATATACATTGACCGTTCAAAAAACTTTCGTGCTATCTGCGGAATTTGACTGATTATTATCGCAATTTAGTACTCTTTTCATATTACAATATCAGGCTTGACAGCGTAAATTTTTTTTTTACACTATCAGTACATGAGATATAAGCTCGTTGTAGTTGAACGTGAATGTTGACGATTCTTACCGACCATTACTGGAGTCTTTAGATTTTATCTGCTGGAACTAAGATTTAACGTGGGGAAATTTAGGCCAAATATATTGGTGGCCCTTCAAACTTGGCACAAAATATCTTATTTCAGCTCTAGCTAGTAGCTATGTATATAGGTATCAAATGGGCGGAGTTGGGTTGGATTTGGGATGGTCAAAATTAAACTCGCGCAATTATTACCAAGTTATAATTGCTTTATTTGTTGTTTTATAGTTTTTTTAGTATCTAATAAAATAATTATTTTTCTTTATTATGGATAGACATAATACATCAAATAAGATGTCTTGTTGAAAATATTTTGACAAAATTTCTCCCGGATTAATTTGGGCTAGTTATCAGCCCAAATTTTGATAAGTGGAAATGGGCTGAGCTAGTAATTTGGCAGGTCAATAATCAGATTGTTTGTTTAGAGGGCATGATCCTTCGACTTTCCTTTACTCTTCATTTTATTAGATCGGATTAATGAGGTGCAAGCTCTCCTCATCCGGGAACTTAAACAAGGACACTGAATCGAAAGAATATTGTAATTACCATCATAATAAGTAAACATGCAGAAAATAGGAGGAAAAAAGGACTGGACATATATATATTTGAAGCAGAATTCATAGTATATTACATATATATTATAAGGATAACAATTACAACAATATCATGAAGCTCAACATCTATAACAAAAAGGCAACCTAAAGATTTGACTTGCGTATCTTTTGCCCTCCTTTATTTTAACAATCTTTCTGTTTCCGATACCATGAGATATATATAATTTTGGTGAAATGGTGTGTAGGATATGGACAAGAAAAAGAAGATGACTTCTCCAGAGATAATCGAATTATATCTCTAGTGGTGTCGGGAAAGGTTGAGCACGGGTACATTAAGACAAGTGGAATGGACAAACAAGTGCAAAATCAATGTAGTGTTTCAAGAACCTTATGTTCAAGAGGTAAGGCAGATTCAAGAATGTGCGCTCTTTGAAATATGAGTTCAGAATTTAATATTTATACAACATTTTAGGATTTCTCACATATATATTAAAGGTTTTAAGCTGAATATGGTGGGTTAAATTGAACCCATCCTTAATATTATTTGTCCGCCCCTGCTCAAGAGGTGATTAGGGACGGACACAAACTAAGAGAAGAAAGATAATCAGAGAAAATTGGCTATATTGCTGAATTCAATGGACAGGTAAAGATGATCTGATGGTGTGGTTTTTGATCACTTGATGTGTCGATGTGCTTGATATCAACATTAGTGTCAAGAAAGTGCACCAGCATTTGAGGTAATCATTCCGACCATGGAAGAGGACTTAGCAGCTAAGCTTGAGGCTCTTGCATAGCCGCCTGGAGCAGCACGTCCCGATGCAGTGAAGTATGCTCCATTCAACAAAAGGTCTCCCACTGATCTCCAGTTCCACTGTTTCCATGATCCTTCCCATGGTTCCACTCTTTTTGTCACCTGTTAACCCAAAATTCCATAAATTTCAATAATTTGTTGAGGTTAGGCTTTACTTTCCTTACTTGTACTGTATTGTGCCGTGCCTAAGTGGTTTAAAAATCAGCCTAGTTTTGAACTAACCTCTTTAGCAAAAGGGTTCACTGGGGCAAGGTATCTGTTACCCTGGCTGTTAATTGTAGGAGCAGCACTGCCACCAATGGCATACATCTCCCAGTGCGTGTAGTCATTGTTCACCACATGGAAATAACCATGCCTACATCTGCATATTAATTATATCGTACTATTGTTAGTCCAAGAAGACATGGAAAAGATGAGTAAAACAACTACGCCTCAATTCCAAGCAAGGTGAAATTCGTTATCTCAATCATTACCATTTATGTCACTAGTTTTGGGGGTTAAAAGTTAGGCGAAGATCAATTTCTTTATATAGTATCAGAGCATGGTCCATCTCCATTATTGCTTGCCGATGTTGGGTTTATATAGTATCAGAGTAGGGTCCATCTCCATTATAATGTTGGGTACTCTTATAAAATTGGCCATGCTCTAGATGTTTAGCTTTGGGTGCCTTGTGGTGTTGCAGAGTTCCACATTGGATGAAAAATGAATGGGTAGTCTTTTAAAGTAACCTTGGGAAAATGAATGGGTAGTCTTTTAAAGTAACCTTGGGAAATCCTATCCTCGTCAACTAACTTTATGAATTGAGTTAGATCCAAGATCCATTTTTTTACAATAACAGAGTCTCATATTATTGCAAAGATCAGTAATTTACTAAATCAGATGAACTGGGGAAAAAAAGCCTACTCATATTTTCAGATTGATACCTTGGCATTCTCTGGATTAGGCCCTCACCAAAATGGTTGAAGGCAATAGTCACCTGCATAACCTTATCTCTTACATAGGAGTCACTGTGCCCCAATAAAATCACCTACACATAAGTTGGATTAATGAATAATTAGTCTTTGAACTAAAGTATCAACACACAAGAATGCAGTTTAAAAAATATATATTCAGAAATGTCGTTTTAGTTGAAAATTGACCTCATTGTGATGGGTGAAGTAATTGTTTGAAATGGTAATTGCAGTTGAACCCATAATAGCATCAATGAGACCATCAGCACAATTAGAAAGAGAGTTGTGATCAACCCAAATATGGCTGGAACCAAAAATGGAAATGGCATCACCATCAGCCATAGTCCTCCAACCATAATGTGATGGTGAGCTTCTAACCATGGCATTACCAGTTGGTTTACAATCATGAATATGGAGACCATGAATGATAATATTAGTAACAAATTGGATAGTAATACAAGCCCCATTCGCGATATGCACATTCACACCACGAGCATCGATTGTCTTGAAACTATTCATGATCAGTTCTTGCTTAAGTGTGATGTGCATGTCACTTTTAAACACTATCCACAATGGTTCATCTTGAATAACAGCGTGACGAAGTGTTCCAGGTCGGGGATTTACTGGATCATCATCACCCGAGTCAGTTACAACGTAAAACCTGCACGTAGAGGTGGATTCAGGATTTTTAGAAAGCTATAGATCCCGCTCTAAATTTGCCTCCGAATATATATACCTGCCATCTCGGCCACCAATGGCATTGCGTCCAAAGCCAATTGAACAGTCAGCTAACCGTCTGCGATTACGTTGCCAATGGCGATCGCATCGCCAACAATCATCAATAGGATTCCCCGTCGTACATGAGAAGTAACCCAGTTTCCTCCTCTCTGTGCTATTCCTAATGCTCCTATACAACAATACAAGAAAGATGAGTGTTCAATTTTTGTCTAACAGTATTTACCGGGCACTCAGTCTCAGTGTAACAATTGATTTAGTGTAAGATATTTCCCTCACTAATTTTACGGGATACATGTCATCTCCCACCAGAAATAGGTATCAGATAACTCTGTTAATCAAAATAGGACAAATGAAAAAATTGCCTAGTAGTTTTTGTCTCCGTAACTTTGAATATAAAATCCCAAGGTTACGAACTAAATTATGTTCCAACTTATGAAATAGAAACAAACAAAATCTCACATGTGACTACTTTGATGTATATAGTATAAAATAAGACTTATTTGAGGGATCAAGTTGACCCACTCAAAAATGTCTTATAGGGATAAGTTAAAAGTGAATGTAATGTGATAAATAAATAAACAATAGATAAAAGGAATACGGTCAATACGGAAATAGTACTTATATCCATCATTCCATGTAATAATAATAATAATGTACTAATAATAAAAATATCTAAAATAAATGCACATGCAAAGGTGGGGAGATAAATGCATGATGTGTCGGTAGGAGAAACTATTTATTGATTAGGGAAAAGTCATTTAATATATGGTGATGGGCTTTGTCAGTACAGCCAGCTGCTGCATCCCTCAATTTGGAGCCCAGATCTCATATCTTCTTACTGCTCTACTAACTTCTTAAGGCCATTTGCCAGGCTGGGACAGGGGACAATGTTATGTGGCCTACGATAAGTGGGGATGTAAATTGGTCAAGTTCATCGTCAAAAGATTATTGTACGGGGCTCCTTTTATGCACACATATGTTTCAAACAGATCGTAGTAATAAAATAAGGACAGTTTAGTATATGAAATATTTCACGTTCATGTAGAATTCTAAAATGGATCGTAACTTAGAAAATATGATATAAGCAATATAACAAGTATTAATGGTCGATACAATGATTCGAATTTATGATATTACGTACAATTGCTCCAAATTAAGCTCCCTTTGATATTTTTTAAACTACAACAACAATAATTATGTTTTAATCACAAATTAAGCTCCAAATCTCTTTATACTAACAAGAAAAATTGGTTCTAAATTTTCTTTTGACCGTTATAGTGAAATATTATTTTCATTTCACCATCAATATTGTTATAAAGAGATCATTTCACCGTCAATATTGTTCCGTCTAAGTAACATGAATATGGATAAGCAAACTCAAAATATATAGAACAAACATTATAATGTGCACCTTCATGTAAAGCCACCTTCGGCCTCTACGAGAAACATGGATACACACACATGAATGATAAAAGAAAAAGACTCGATAGATAATTTATGATGTGCCTATGATGATAAATCTCCCAACAGGAGCATGTGAAGACCAAGTAGATTAGGCAGGGGAATGCGAGTATGCAACTTTTAACTTATTCTAACATGGCCTTTCTAATCAATGATGATTAACACTAATCCAAAAAAGGTACTTTGGAGTTTGGACCTATATATTACTTACAACATTATCATATAGTACTAGATTGGATACCCATAAGAGAAATAGACATTAGACCTGACTCAACTTTAAACTATAGTTCATAATATAATAATTGTCCAAAATCGTATAAAAAGATCAATTCATCCTTGAAGAGTCGATGTGGAACTCAGGTACTCAACAATGTCCATACTTAATTTTACAACACATAATAACTCCTCTGACACGAATCCTAGTTGTTAGGGACAGATTCACAAAATTGTTGAGTTGATTTAAGAATTGTTAATTAATGACAGTACTTATAAAAGCTGTCATAGCTAGAGAGCCTGTGGCATTTGCATGTGCAATATGCCTCATAGGCAGTCTAATGATAATCAGAGTAACTTCTTTTGACTGTCAGCAGAAGATGAATTTGGAAAGGGAATCGCAGAAGAACGGAAGCAGAGGGAGTTGTATTGGAACGGTTCGGTAGGTGGGATATTAAAGACAACTGCGGCATTGCTTTTAATTTTGTGGGTGATGTGTAGATCTTGTGGCTGACTAATCAGAAATTTTGGATAGACATACAAACGATTATTTTTTTTAATAGGGAGCATTTTCCTATTTAATAGATCCTAAAAAGGTAGATATAAACTTTTCACTACGGGTCAATTTTGAACCACATTTGTCATATGAAAAAAAATAGCCTAATTGATTAATCATATAAATTTTCACTTTATTGCTGATGTTCGATTTATTAATTTGTAATTTCCGCTCCAATTTCTCGTTCCTCATCATCCTTACCCCCACCCAAAAAAGGAGAAAAAAACTCCTTTATAAACTTAGCTCCTTCAATAAACCTTATGCATATGAATTTGAATTAGGTGGATCAAATTATCGGATAATTAAACTAAAAAGTAAATGTAGTCTTCTTACAACAGGTCAAAATTTGAATCCAATTTATCATGCTAACAAAAATCAGCAATTATATAAATTAGAAAAAGTATATATATGATAAAAGAATATTACTTTTATTTACATAAAAAGCATAATTTTTCAATAAAGGAAATTAAGACGAAACTCCTTTATTGATATAGCATCGTCACTGGGTGTGGGTACTATTTGTCTCTCTATTCAACCTATATATGATTGGAATATCTTTTTTTCCCAAAAATACTTTTAGTTCGTACTTGTTTTTTACAAAAGAGTAGTGACGCAGTAAACATTCAACGCCTTTTAATTATAAATAACTAAATAAAGTCTCTTAATGGAGTAAAGCATTAACTGAAAACAGATTAACGCTAAAGGGAGGAAGGATAGTTGCGATATGAGGAATATTTTTTAATAATTAAATTCTAAAGGCTCGATTGGGAACAAGTTATTTTGATAACTAATCTCGGATACTTTTAACATTTTTATATGGGATTGCGAGAGACAGGATTAACTCACATATCCACCATGGAAGCAATGGCTTCTGGATCATCTACAGCATGTTCATGCCTGAGTTCATCGTTTCCACTTAACCTGCAAAACTTAAATCATGTAAAAAAAATTAACAAAGGAAAATTGGATCGCGATTACAGAGTTAAAAGAACCAGATATTTCCAGATCCGATCAGTCGAAATCTTCTCTGATTCAATTGCAGAGTTGGTACATTACTCGAAGAAGTAAAAGCGCTAAAGGCAGAAAACAAAATGAAGTTAACCTGTTCGCCATAGTCGAGTTACTTAAGCTCTGAAATTGCTCTGCTTCTTCAATACTGACGATGAAAAATTCAAAATCCAATGAGTGAAACAGAGTAAAAGTAGCTCCATCGTCGAATCGAAAAACAGAAACAGAGTGATAAGAATGGAGAACTTACTCCAGCACAGCTCAAATGTCATAGTTAACAAAGAGAAATAGAAGTATTTAAATTCCATAATCGAAAAACAGAATCACTGATGGTAGCAATGGCGTTAATTCCAGAAAATCTGGTATTGAATTAACCTTATCGAAGCTCAAATGTCAAAATTACCTAGAGGAATCTCATGAATTAAGTAATACAACTACTTAAATCGAAAAAAAAAAAAAAACAGAAACAGAGATGATAAGAATGGCGCAATTTACAGAAAATCCGAAATTATACTAAATTACATCGCTGCTCAAATGCATAAATTAAACAAGAGGAATTTCATATTAATCGAACTAAGTTGCTTCCACATTGTAGAAAAAATTGCTACTGAAAACGTAATGAACGCCTTAAATACCTGTTATCGGCAGAAGAATTGATGAATAGTACGATCACAATTAGCAATTGAAGAAAACACAAACACGATAATCTCAGAGCAGCTGCCATGGCGGAGTTATCTCTAGAATTCGCCAATTTTCTCTCTGTTTTGGGCAAAACAGAATGTGGCTAATTTTATTATGAAATGATGAAAGCTTGAATGGAGGAAACGTTTTATAGGGCTGCAAGTAAGAGACAGAGGTACCATTCATTAGTTGTCTAACTTTTGATATTGTTCATTATTGGAAAGATAGGCTTATAAAACTCAACTATATTTATCAAAAAATATTTACATGTTCAATAAATTAGTAGTTAATATAGATTAAGTTTTATCCATTTGAGTATGCCGTCAATATCATTAGTCTTTTTAAGGTTTAATCACAAGAATATTTGCTTAAACCTTCTATAAACCTCTCACCCAATTAACGTTCAACTTAATTTCTCTTTAGATGTAACAAATTATATATTACTTTAAGTATTTTGAGACAAATTTGATTTGTCAATCGGCTATTAACGGCATTAATGAGGTTAAGCTAGTAACTAATTAAATTTATTCACTATGTAAAGAAATATATCTACTTTTTATGATCGTGGTGTACATGTCACCTTTCACGCATCTTGATTAATTTTACGGAATACATGTTACCTCCTATCAATAATACGTTTCATGTTACTCTGTCCATCAAAGTTAGGACAGTCGTGTTTTACTTTCAAAGTACTATATAATATAAACAAATCCAACAAATAGACACAATTCTTCCTAGGGGTGTGCATTCGGTTTTTCGGTTTGGTTTTACACTATTCTGTTTGGATTTTTGGTTTTTGGTTTTGTAAAAGTGTAACCCAATCCGATCCAAAATAAATTTGGTTTGGTTTGGTTTTCCTCTATTTGGTTCGGCTTTTTTCGGTTTGGTTATTCGGTTATGTCAATAATTAATAACATATATAACCAAAGTAATAATATTTAATCCCTTAAATATACTTTCTAATATAAATCATAAGTAAAACTTAAAACACAATACTTATAAGTATACCTATTATAGATGTAATTCAAACATAAAATATAAACGTAATCATCATAAAAGGCAATAACCAAAAAGGGACAAAAGTGGTTAACCCCAACTTAATTCTAAGCCTAAACATTATATAATATATATATATATATATATATATATAATTCGGTTTTTTTCGGTTTTTCAGTTTTTATTTTTAATATCCAAAACAAAACCAAAAAACCAAACAAAGTAATTTATTAATCCAAAACCAATCCGAAAAACCAAAAAACCAATCCAAATAAAAATTCGATTTAATTTGATTTAATTATTCGGTTTAATCCGAATAGTGCACACCCCTAATTCTTCCCCATCAATCAACGGCAAAACTAAGTAGTGTTGAGCAGTTCAGCCTTTAATCTGAAAATTATATTTACAAATAAAGTAAAATATATGTATTTTCTATTGTATATGAGCTGTTGATTTTCCTTTGACATAAAAAAAATTCAAGTATAATGATAGAGGGGTTCGAAATTATTTTAGTTAATGTAAACTACTTTTACATAATTTCTATATATAAGTTAAAACTTTAAGTTTGTGATTAACAATATATAGCTTTTAACTATTTGACTTAAGTCATTCATGAGTCGTTTTCTCACGTGTCAATGCGTCGGTCACTCACGTGCCGGACACTGCAAAATTTACACAGTTTCCATTTCTTTCGCGAGTTTGTCTAACAAATTAAATTCCACCGCATTATCTGTGGGGCCTACCACGTCTTCCACCTCAGCTATTTATTTAACTCAAACCTCGACGCTAGATAAGAATAATACTGAATAAAATATATTAGAAATGTAAATTAGTTATATTGTGATTAATTATACTATATTATTTATACTAAGATTATTTTCTATTGTCTTACCTATGCTTATATTGTTATACATGTATTAATAGCCAATATATTGCTAGTACTACAGTTTGTTATCTATTTAGTGTTCTATAATATTGAATAAGATGTATAACTAATATCACAATTAATACATGTCATATATGTATGTGTTTTGAAAAAAATTTGATAAAATAGTTTAGTCTCACAAATATTTATTATTTATTTTAGATGACAAATTTCAAAGCTTTTTCTTTCTTTTTTTTACCTTTGATGAAACTTTTTCTACAAGCCACATTTAATTTTTACCATGCTATAAAATCCCATAACATGAATTAATTAATGAGTTTTTATGATTGACGGTGGTAAAACATTTACATAATTATGTCACTTAAAAAGTAAATTCAAATGAGTTTTATGATTAATATCTTTGCTTGTGAATCTTCACAACAACAAAAACAACATGCCTATATACTTCAGTGTAATTACACGGTGAAATCTGAAGAGAATAGAATATGTGTAGATCTTCACAAAGCTATCATAATATTTAGTATAATTCTATAGGTAGGTTGGCAATATGCTAGCGTAATTCCATAAGTGGGGTTTGAAGAGGATAAAACTTATTCAAACCTTACCCCTTCCTCAGAAAGATAGAAAGGTTATTTCAGAAAGACCCTCAGATCAAGTAACCCAATCTAAGGGCCAAATATCAAAAAAGCAAAATTTATCAATATCTTAGAAACCAAAAGTGTTATATATTATCCTTAGCTTAAAATCCTAAATTATTACCAAATGAATATGACTTTATTATATTTGCAGTCAAAGTTCAAGGTTTCATGTACCATTTGAATTATTATGCATATATGTACAATATTGTTAAAAGTTAAAGCTTGTAATACGTACGATGTGATCCATTATTGGGACAAAGGACTTAAAATCTTGAACTGTTTTATAGTACTAAAGACTGTTTATATAGTTACTCCAAATTAAGAAGACCGTTAGTTTTATTAATTAGTGCCCCACAACTGTAATTCTTGTAGCAAATATTGAATTTAAGAGTAATGATTTGCAGTATAATATGGTTCGGAACAACATGAAATGATTTGATAGCTAGAGTTGCGGAATTTTAACCAAAAGAGTTCATCGATTGCTTATGTGTACGTAAAAAAGTTAATCTTGCAACTATAATATAATTTTTCGATAAAAAAATTCAAATGAACCCTCGGACCTCTATATATCCCCACATTTGTGGATAGGAATATGCATTTTTGAAAGTCATAGTTTTTTGAAAGTCACTAAGAAGCCAAAAATATTTTTCATTTATTTAAGAAGCACCAATTTTAGAGAGGTGAAGGATTCAGACAAGCTATTGGTTTTTTTTTTTATTAGTTTTAGAAGCTTATTTTAGAAGTTGAAAAAATGTTGAATATCCTTAGAAGTACTTTTGTAAGCTTGATCAAATACAAACTGTTGTTTTAATATTGATAAAAATATATTTTAAATTGATTAATCAAACACAAGCTATTATTGATCTCCTCAAGTATTTTTTTAAAGTATTTTTAATAAAAAAAAACCATTTTCAAACTAAGTAAATTTTAAAAGTTTGATCAAACAGACTAGTTATAATATGTTAAGTATATTTATACTATGAATTAAGGAAATTCTAGATGTGAAAATCAAAGCTACATATGGATATTTATTGGCTCATGGAGTAATTTGCTGTCTATTAAATTTTATACTAACAAAAAGTCAAGTACTTCTTTCAGATAAACTGCAAATATGTTCCAATATCAGACCGAAGTCAACATCATCTCTTTAATGAATTACTATTCCCTATTTGACTTTCCACTTTTTAATTGTCCCACTAGTCAGACAATATGTATTGGGGGAATTATATTTTTTTTGTTTAAAAGAAATGATCTCCCATGATCCATAAGAAAAAAATAATTCTATAAAAAAAATCGTGTGAGAAGAACCATATAAAGAATCTTTATAATTTTAGCTAGCTGGTTGTAATAGTTTGTAGTCGTCATCGAGGTAGACATAATGTATAACAAGTATATAATTCGTATACACAAATTATTCATTGTTATACACTAATAGTGACTAAATTTCGTTCAAATAACTAAATACTAGTGTTTTTTCATTAAATTAAATTCCAAAGACATTGAATTCATTACCCCAACTAAATGTAGGAATGCAAACAAGTATATACATAATGGCATATTCAATTGTACAGCTCAAGCTGTCTAGTGTAAAAGAAATGAATTATGATGATAAAACGTTAAAGTTCAAATTTAATCACGATGGAAAATTTCAGAAAAATGGACAATGATAATGATGTGTTTCTTGGTATCTATGATTTGCACTATAGTATGTCTATTATTTTGCCTTTTTTTAGATAAAGAAAAAAAATTATCCATAAATTGTCCCATTTAAAAACTAATGTAAAGCCCACATGGGGTTCCTTCCTTATAAAAACTATCTGGCATACAGTAATAATATAAATACATAGTTGCATGCAGAGGAATACAAACCACACATTAAATCCATGTTCCCTCGTGTCCTTCCTTTCTCCACAATTATGAATTATTATGTAAGTAATAAGTTTAGAAACAGCAAAGAAAGATTTTTTTAAAAAAAAAAAGCAGGGTACGTGAATGGGAAATGGGGGAGGGGATTACAAAATGGAGAGTCGAACCCTTACCAACAAGGTGAATGTTCTGATAGTCAACTAACTAACTGAACTACTCAGATTTATCACTTGCATTGTATCACCCCATCATACTCCGATGCTTTCTGAACGAAACAGGTCTTCTAACAGCTAAGATATACAAGAGAAATGTCCTGATTCTTCATTAATTCAACAAGATATCTGTCTCCTAAATCAGTCTGCTACGATCCTGTTTCTTATATTGATATTAAAAAGTACCAAAATTCAGAACCCTTTCAACTTTGTGATATGGATTCGTAATGGTCAATATAATCATCCAGAAACAATGGCTTTCAAGATGTGAAGTTTTCTCTTGCAGCTCAGCAATCAACAGTCTGAAATAAGCAAACAATTTGAGGGGAAAAAATATCAGATCAGTATGTGTGTGTTTAGAATGAGGAAATGTTTTTCATGCTTGGTTGTGGTCATGGAAACTACTTATTGAAGATTGACGATAGTTTCAGCAAATTGGATGGTGTCTTGATGAAATTTAGGAGTATTAAGTTCACAATGATCTTCGAGTTTTGGTTGGAGAAAGTGATATAGTGCAAGAGTTAAAGTATTTGCAAAGAAAAATGACTTTTGCCCAAAAAGGGGGAGTAGTCAAAATTTCCCTCTTGGTAGAAAATGTTTTTCGTAGAAAAGATTTTCCAATACCAAAAAATGTCTCGTGAAAAGTACTTTTTTGGTCATACCGACAACACATTACAATTTTAACTTTTAAAATTTAGACTCAAGCTGAGAAATATGTCAAGTTAGTAACTAGTCAACCTAAAATTAATAACAACCATACCTGCTAAACATCTTTGTATAGCAACTGAAACTTTGGTATTCTCTCTGGAGGAAGGGGACAAGTCACTATGAGCTTGCCTTTCATGGCCCCTCTAAATATTGCCTGCTTACAAACAGGGACGGTCGAGCAGTTAGAAATGACTCCACATTCATGACTTGTAAAAAAAATGAATCATCAGAACAAAGTATATACTCAGCAGATTCAAAAAAATGCACCAAGAACTTTAGTATACTAGCTCCTGGATAAACAGCCAACTAGAACACAATCTTATGCACATCATAGATGCAAACTGAATGAACAATCAGATATTCTATAAAATTATGAGCTAACTGAAAAGAGTCTAACCCTCTACCAAATCTATCTGAACCTAAACTCGTTCTCTAATTGTTTAGGTTGATACACAAAATAGTTGCTACACTCACAGGCAACTCTTAGCAAACTAGGAGATCTCCCTTCCGGATCTCAAAAAGTTAGAAGTCTTTACAACCTGGAAACACAACTTTCCGAGCTTTATTCGATGCGTAACTTTTTAGACTTCTTAGAGGAACATCCTCCTTGAAAGAAATAAGGTGTCCTTAACTTATGGAAAAGGGATCTCAAACTACCAATTTTATTTGATAACCGAGAGATTCCTGAGTCCCAATGGCGCACAGTTCGAAACTCAGGAGATAAAGGGCCCACCTATATACCGTTCTCAACCTAAATACCAGGCTTTTGTTTGAGGCAGTGTTCGAACATGTGTCTGTCTAACCACATATCACATGTTGCGCTCTTACAACTAGACCAAAGTCCTGGAGCCATTTCAGAGTATAGATTTTAACAATTATTTCACTTATATTGCTACAGAATATGCATCTCAGTGTACCCTTGACTATTTGACAGATCTGGTAGTTGTGCTTTATAATAATCTTAAGAACAGATCTGGTTGCACGTAATCTTGACTTTCGCCTTTCACTCGTGCAGTTGGACTAACTTCTCCCTTCCACAATTAAAGTTTCCTGCCGTTCAAACTTCATGTCCAGACTCCAGGGGACATGCAGAAACAAATCTACTAGCTTAATAAGCAAATATTGGACACCCCTCCATACATATACCAGAAGTTTGAGTCTAGAAATTAGAAGCTTGTGATATCTCAGCCATTCTCCAAAAGCCAAAGTATATCTCTTCAACTTAAAGCCACAAACGCGAGATTACAATCACATATATTAACTATTGTTCTGCCAAATTACTTGTCTTTCTGGCTTTTATATTCCATCAAAAAACACCCATGGCATTAATGGATCAACTTCATGCAAGTATTTGCGCCATACTAGTCACTCAAGATTGCTGGTTGTTATGGTACCGTATATTTCACTCTTTAATCAAACGCCTTCCGAGGCTTTGGCACATCTAGAACCCATGGAGACTTAAACAACCTTGTTTAGAAAGTGCTACCTGAAGTTTATACAGTTGAATAAGGAGTCACAATTATTAAAAAGCTGCACTTCGCAGGAAGAGCAAATAATTTTACACTTAATATTCATCTGGAATTCTGGATCATAGGAAAAATACTAAGGTCTAGAAAGAAAGTTGTGAGATTATCCCATACCTCTACAACATCAATGAAGTCTTGTTTTCTTTGAAATGCTCCAACCCACTTGGTGTGATCTGCACTCCTGGAGAACATCCATCTCAGAGAAGTAAGAGCTTCAATCATGACAGAGGTCCATTAAGATACAATAATATCACAGGAATGTAATTACAACATCAAGCTGTCCTTGACATATGCATAACTCAGTTTACAAGTAATTGCTTTATAATTGTTGCAATGTCGACTCGTCATCAAATTTACTACATAGATAACTCTTTCAGTATTATTATACAATTAACAGCAGAGAGATAAACCTTTTGTTTTGCTTTTGAAATATTAGATTGAGAGATAAAATTTTAACATTAAGGTAGCATAGCGAGTGGTAGGGGGAGAAATAGAGAAGCAAATTATTTGCAAACTTTCCTTGAACGTCTTCCAATATAACATACCCTCCATTCTCCAATGAGGGAGGAGGCAAGTACGAATATATGACGACAAGAAGGTTATCTGCAAATACTTAGCCAATAGACTAACACATTCCTTTTCTCTCTTCTTTTCTTTTAAATAGCCTCTCCTTCCTATTTCCTAGTAAGAAACATTTTAGGCCTTCACAATTCTCTTTTCACCCCTCTCCCCGATCAAAAACAAAACAGAGATTCGGCTCTTGCAAGTAGTTGCTTGAACCGAGTCAAAGTCACTTCAATTTCCCTTGATTGAAGGACCAAAGAACTTGTTATCCAAAATGTTGTGGAGAGCTTCCAGCATTAGGAATTAAATTAATTTTCCAACAAAATGTGTCTAATATATGGTCAAGATTATTGATTACAGTCATATAAGGACTAAAAATATGGTGTGCTCCTAATGCTCGACAGAGATGCAAACGGGTATAAGACCATGGATGGCACTTTCTTCAACTAAATTGAATCACAACAACAACATAAAGAACATGTCCATAGCAGAAAACTTCGAAAATTCGAACAAAGAGAAGGCATACCCAGAATCCATCTTCATATGATGAGCATTGAAGAAGAAAATGGTAGATGGTATTAAGGTTATATCAAAATACTTGACATAAACTCGAACGTCCTCTGAATCAATATCCACTAAAGCCACAGTCGCAAACTTGGACACCTCTCTCACAGATTTATACAGCTGCAGCCAACAAGAAGCAATGAAGTAAACGAACCACTCCAGAAAATATACAACTTATGCAATGTCAACTTAACAGTGAAAAAACACAACTTCTACACAATTTGAGTGTCTAACGCATAAGGGTGAATTCACTTTTTCCACAGCTACCTACATCTTACACCCAGAACTATACAAATCGTAGTTGTAATTTGTAAAATATATACTCCCTCTGTCTCAATTTGTGCGCAACTATTACTATATGCAATAGTTGTAATTACTATATCACTATTACTTGCGCTATTCCCCCCAAAAAAAAAGATAAAACATTCTCCAAGAAAAATTATGACTTGTAGTCTTCTTCCCAAAAAAGGAATTCCTTCAACAAAAATTATAACTTGTAGCCTTCCTCCAACTTATAACTTGTAGTGCACCCAAGGGTGTGCCCTAGTAGTCAATGACATAGGTTGAGAACCATAACGTCTTAGGTTCATAAGGTGATTTATTCTCATCTGTCCTAGCCTTGTTGCTGGTGGAGGTGGTAAGTATCCCGTGGAATTAGTCCATGTGCATGAAAACTTGTAGTACTATTAGACATTTGATGAGTTGATCCTGGAGCATATCTACTAGAGCTTTAAATTCTATGCACTCACATCGTAAACTATATTACATAATTAGGTCATTAATAAGGTAATTACAGACAAATCTCTGGTGCAACCTGATGAAATTGATTACTAAATTGCTACTACTGGTATAAGTATTCTCTATACTTTCAGTGTATATAACCTAAATCCATGTATAATCTCACTAGCTTAGCTTAAAATCCTAAATTCGCCTAAAATTTAAGTTTCCTCAGGTAATGATCTTTACAATAGAAATTCAAGGAATTGGAACAAAATAGATTAGTCTATCACTGTTTCACAAAAAAAAATAGGGGAAAACAGAAAAAAATGGATGCGTACGATGTCGTCAAGCTGGAGGCAAAGAGGATCAGAGGATCGGCCGAGACGGAGGACGAGAACTTTATCGATTGTGTCCCTTATTATCGAATCTACTTCTTCCTTCTTCGTCAGCGTCCTCAATATATACTCCATCTTCTCTCCCTGTCTTTTCTTCAAAATACGGCTAAATGCTACCGGAAAAACTTTATAAGTATTTGCATGCGACGAGGGCTTCACCGGAGTGGTACAATTTTACAGTAAATACATTTTTTTATCAGCTAGAATAATTGCACTTTTGGTCCCTTAATTATAGATAAAATGTGATTTTAAACTTTAATTAACTGAAATATGTGTTTTTAGTCCTTTTGTATAGAAAATTGGGTATAGGTTGTTTGGCCCGTTAGGTGACACGTTTGAATCCGATAATATAACGAATCATTGTGATTTAATTTGTCGAGTCAAATTAATAAATGGATCATTATTCAACTCGTTCTAATAATTAGTAAAATTTATTGAGTGGTTATTCAGCTTTGAGTTTATCACAAAAAATGTTTGTCTTTCTTTGAATTGATTCATTGTTAGTGTCCATTTGTGCCTATGAAGCCACAGGGTTGTCTCACGAAGCTTTTTTTTATTCAATATCTTCACATCTACTTTCTCTAAGATGAATCAGTCCTTTGCTATTGCAAGAATATAGCCATCAAAGAGTTATAGGTGCTACTTCGCTTATTATACCATATTTGCTCAAAGAGGCATATTGTAAATGCATAGGTGAGTGATAATTAAACATAAGAGACATGTCTGAAGTTGAGCTAATATATATATATATATATATATATTATTATTATTATTAATGTGCCAATTTGCCACCTCTAGTATAATGCATTAGTGCTATCCTTAATTAGGATTCACTATTAGCTAGGTCAGAAACAACATTAAATGTGAAAGAGACAAGAAATAAAACCTACATCTCAATATTCTTTTTATTGGATTACGACTTAATGAAACACGGAGAACCAGTTACTTAATTGAGTATGAAAGGTCAGAGAATTATATACTTACAAAGACAAAATTATATAATATTTAATTTATTATATATTAATTTAATTAAACAATCACCAGACATTTTAATCACCCCACATCCCAACACATATTTGTGAGGTGATTCTTTGAAGAATATGTCTTCTTAAGCCCATATATTTTTGTAGGTACCCATTGCAGTCCTTGTTTTTTCACAATTTGTTTGTGTCCACTACTTAGTAAATGTGTTAGATGTCTCATAAAACAAAACAATAATATCTTATCCACCCAATTCATATTCCTATAGTTTTATTTGTCGGTTAACTATTCTATATTTGTTAGGTTAGAATCTCATATTGGTTAAAAAATAAAGTGGTGATCTGCTTATAATATGGACTTGAATGATTTTATGCTCATGTATTAGCTTTAGGTGTTGATTAGTTAGACTCAAATATCATATTTTTACATAATATCAAAGTCAGGTCCATCTCTATTTGGACTCACAATCCACAAAGTCAGATTTATCCCTACCCGATCCACAACTTGCAGTTTGAGCTCAATATTATGAACCAAATGTACTTGTGATTCAAAAGTTATTTTCTTTAATTAGTTGAAATACTGTCACATAATCTAGAGAATAGTAATGTATTCTTTCTGAACCTACCTCATCTAATACTTCCAAAAAAATCCTTTGAGAGGAATAGTAACCTAATGAGACCATGAGAGTGTTAGATTCAAAATAAAAATAATTCTATTAAGCAAAAAAACTCAAGGCTATCGCAAGTGTAGGTCTACAAGATAGCTATCACAAAATTTCGTCGTTTGTTTCATCATAAGATCAATCTATCACTCAATTATACGTATTTTATCGTTATCTAATTGTAACCAACAATTATATATCTACTTATCGTATTTTTACACCTGCTCGATAAATAGTAATTCAAAGCAACTCAATTTATGCCTTGGCAGTTGGGACTTTAAGACTGATCTTTCTATTAAAGCTTATTGTAACATGAAAAATACCCCAAGACTCCCTTAGATGGCCATAAACCAAACACCACCAAAGGCCCTACATTTTGTATGGTGAACAGAGTTTCCACCATAGATAAAATCCATTTATTACATTTTAATTTCTTTATTAGTGTCATTTTTTTCTCCCTTAGATTCAAGATTTGCTTAGTACCCACCACATGATCAATTAGTCTTACTATATATTTAATTTGTATAAATATAATCTTTATTGCCACAAAAATCACAAAACACACCAAAATTAGTGTCTTCATCTTTCTCCAAAGGCCAAAGACAAGAAATTTTGGCTTATTACAGACAAACACATATAATTCCTTCTATATATGATCCATTTGACCAAATTTTTTGTCTCACTTGTATAGTCTAAAGAATCTACTAGTCTATTTAAAATATATTTCCACTAACATGCAGGTTAGCTAGTTTTCTAATAAATTTTTTTCTTCATCATAAAATTATTTATTGTCATGTTCACATGTAGCTAACTTTGAGCATTCACATATATAACAGATCCTTCAATGGCTTTTCAAGAATGCAAATGAGACCAATTTTAACACCAATTCTAGCAAGAAGCAAGTTGTTACTGGTGAGTGGAAAAAAAAAAGTTTGTTCACTATCTTGTTAGTATTACATTTTAGATTTACATTTCTTGTTCAAATATTGTAATTTCACCGATAGTCTATTTTTCAGACTACCATATCAGACTTGACACGAAGATAGTCTGATATGAAAAGTTGCCTATTTATAGCTATTCATGCAACTTTACAAATTGCAATATGTTATCGTTCTATTTTTCAGATTATCATATCAGACTTGACATATGATGATAGTCTGATATGTCAATTTTTCCTTATGATGTAAATAAATTATACATTGTCAGCGCGCAGAACTTAGATTGCTACATTTTAATGTCATTTTTTATATCCAAAGTCATCAATGTTTGTTAATTCCTCTGTTTTTTCAGATGAGGAAGTGAAATCCCAAGGCATTGTCCTGTTTGGGATTTCTCGAAAAAAGAGAAATCGAGCGGGAAAATCAGCAAATTCATGCTGCTGCAACATCCTCAATTTGTTCAACACATTACGCAGAAAAGACATTGAGAAAGATTATTTCTACAGCACGATTCGTCTAAAGAGATTGGAAAGTTCGCGAAGGAAACAACAATTTGTAGATTGCATGAAGATGAAAAAACAGAGTCTTACTCGTGGATTAAGCTTTCGTCGAAAGTCAGATTCTGCCACAGCCAAAGTTTTGCCAGTTAGTGATGGCCATAAGGAGCAAAATTTTAATGCAGATAAGAAGGAAAAGGCTAATGGAGATAAAATCAAGACACTTTCAAAGATGAAGGAACTAATAAGATGGGCTGCTGCTGCTGCTAAATCACAAAAGGGAGGAAAATACTTTGGTCAAAAGGTAAGATTACTCGAATTTTAACATATATACACAGACAATTATTAGTGTAACGTTATTTGTTTTAGCAAGTTGCTCGTACTATCAAGGTTACGAGCCATTAAACTTATTTTAAGTCAGTAAAATATAACACGAGATCTGGAAATAAAATCTTTATAGGTTTATTTTCTTTTATTCAAATGTAATTGGTCATAAAAGATCAAAAATCCATACTACATAGTACACGATTCCATATTATTTATATCTAAGAGGAGAAGTACAAGCATAGTCTTAATATTATTTGACTTGTCTATTTATATATCTTATGACGAACATGTTGGCACGATCACATTCAAGTTATATGTAAATGAATTATATTCCATCAATTTTTCTTTTATACAGATACAGCTTTTATTCTTCCCAACTACTCTCTATATAGATTTTTTATGTTGTCACTAATGAAAATGTGCCTGGACCAGAAAGTGTGGCCACACTTTCAAAAGTATTTAAAAATAAATATTTTTTAGTAAGATTTAACTTATATACATATAAAAATAAGTATTTATGAACAGTTATTTGTATTTGTCGTTTAAGTGAACTGATAATGTGTAGGTTCTGCACTTACGCGATAGGTCGGACTTAAAGGCAGTACCAAATGATGATCAACTGAGCTATGACTCTCCAAAGATCAGCTTCAGATGGGATGTTGATCAAAATTACTCTGCAATTTCAGTGACAAAAAATCACCAATCTATAAAAAACTCCCCCTTTAACTCAACTATGGTCCATATAGATCAGTGCCCTGCAGCAACAAGAAAAGGAAATTGGGTTACCACAGATTCTGAATGTAAGTTTCCTTAGTCCTTTTATTCAATACCTAATCTAGTTTGAAGAGGATACAATATACGTTTTGTGAGATAGAAAATCTATTTCTAAAAAACTCTAGGCTCCAAAATGGAAATATGTAACGCAAGATTGTAAATCGAACTAAGGTGTATTTCAGTAAAGTCATAAAACTAACCAAAATACATCAATCATTCGTATATTTGGTATAATATGAAAAGCAATAATGCATATTCATTAAGTTCGTACCAAAGATTACAACCTTTGTTAAATTTGAAGGAGTACTTATCGAGCCACTATAACCCTCTTCGGTGATTATATCTTTTCTTTTTTTTCATATTTTAATTTCGAAGCAAGATTTTTTCCATCAATTTATGCTTATTTTTTTTAATAACAGTTGTGGTACTAGAGCTAGAGCTATGAAGAAGATTGGTGGTCTCTGTGCCACGTGGATTATAGTGATTTGTTCATCAACTTTGCTACTTTGATGTAACGTTATTTGTTTAACGCACATGACATTCACCTTATATGTCAATTTTATATTCTAACCAACGTTCAACGATAACAATAATGTGTCTGGATGCTGCTAAAAACCGACGAATAGCAAGTGCTTTTTCTTGTGTGGATCTTATTTTATTGGGAACTTGATGAGTTGATTCATCTACATATTTTGATTTTACTATTATATTGAGAGTTACTCAACATATTGGCTTGACGTGAAATAGATAGTGAGTTTATTTGTTGTTGTTGAATCTTTTTTACAGCTCGATAGATAATTTGATAAGACACTGATTTTTTTTCTTCATGTTTTAGAATATGATTAATCAACATGTTAACTAATCGATTATGATAAATTGGATCAAATTTTGATGTTTGTTACAATGAAATTAAATTTTATAAGTGGAGTCTAAAAACAATAATATGTACAGTCTTATTCCTAATTTGTAAAGACAGAAATATTATTTTCGTTATATATCGGTTCAAATAAAGCATATCACAATGAAAGAAATATGAAATAAAAATACAGTAAAAATAAGGGGACAATAACAAATAATACATATACTTGGACCATTCTAGCCAACTTTCAAACTCATAAATGTTTCATGGGACCAATTCCAAACTAATATCCTTTCATTCATTGTATTTAAGCATAATACATAAACATGATCATTAATTTGGCGCTAACTAGCAACTATGATTTTTAACTTTGGATATGCACACGAGATACTTAAACTTATACAAAATTAAACAAATATACACACTCGTCCTACATGACTGATGACACCTTACACGACAATTTTGTGTCCTACGTGGTGTCTTATGTATATTATGTCATGTAGGACATGTGTGTCTACTTGTTCAATATTATACAAGTTTAAGTGCCAATTTGTGCACACTCAAAATTGGAGGGTATAGTTATCTATCGAAGCCAAGTTAAAAAAGTTATATTTTTGTATTATACCTTGTATAATTTGATAATTACACTATAGGTGAATTTGAAGACTTTTAATCCTCTTGCCTAATAAAAAGAAGAAACTTTTTTTATGAAGTTATTTTGATATGCAAACAAAAAAAGTAAGTAATCTATTGGTCTTAATTTAGTAATTTGTGATGAAAGATCTCAATGATATATACAATCATTTATAATCTAGTAAAGGTCTTCAGTAGCATTTCCTCACTAGCTCTTTTGATATTTTAAAGCTTAAAAACCAAGTCCTAGTAATTGGTAAGACCTAAAATAACCAATTTCAACTTTTAAATACTCCATTCGATTTAATTTGTATGTACTTTGATTTGATAAAATTTTTAAGAAAGTAAAAAAAGATTTTAATTCTTGTGAAGTTATGGTATTACACTAAAGATAGGTAGAATGTATCAAAATATCCTTCAATCTCACGGACTTTAAAAATTAAAATTAACGAGTTGTGAAAAAAACTTTTTTTTTTAAAAATAAACTAAAAGGAAAACTAAAAATACAAATTAAACCTTTTTTTTACCCCACCCTCAAGAAGATCAATAATGTTCTCACTTATTCTTCAAATTAACTTAATCGCTTAAACCTAACCTTAATCTATCAATTGATGATAGAGGCACTCAACCACTCGAGCAAGTCTGACTCGTCTCAATCATATTAAATTTCCAAAAACCAATTCTTTAATTTTTCTTACTCTTTATATGTTTGTTTTTCTGTTATGTCATTGTGCAACAAAGTAGGAAACCCAACTACTCCTCACACATTCTCCATTTTTTTCTATATAATCTAAACTAAAATCCCACACACTGTATCAACTCAATAAAAAAAAACAATCTTTTTCAAAACCCCTCAATCAAAAAAAAGATGGAAGAATCCATTTGTATTGAAAAACTCAATTCTCAAAATGACCAAAAAATCAAGAATTGGGATTTTCTTTCTTCAGATCTTACTGGAAAAATCCTCTCATACCTCCCAATTCGTTCTATAATTGTTGCTTCCTCTGTATGCAAGATCTGGAATTCCATAATCACTTCTTCTTCTTTCACTACCAAAATCTCTGCTACAAAAAAGCAGCCATGGCTTTTTCTCTGTGGCCAAAACAGCATTTTTTACAACAATAACCAACCATTTGCTTATGACCCAGATGCCAATGAGTGGATTTCACTTCCCACTTCAACTCTTTTATCCCAAGATTTCTTTATTGGTTCAAATGGTTTTTTCTTTGCTACAACTTCTGAAAATTTCAGTTTTAAGCCTATTTTTAATGGAATTTGGGTCCAAACAAGCCCTTTGAGGTTCTCCAGGTGTAATCCTCTTGTGGGTGTTTACAATGAAGGGTTAAATCCAAGATTCATTGTTGTTGGTGGGGTTAGATTTGTTGGTGGATTAGTTGATGTTGAGGACAGATTGGCTGTTGAGATTTATAACCCAAATTTTGATTATTGGGAACTGTGCCCACCTTTACCAGCAGATTTTAGGTCAGGGAATTCATCACAGTGGTTATGTTCAGCTTTGTTAAGAGATAAATTCTACTATGTTTTTGGGATATATTCTTGTTTTATTACATGTTTCAATTTGGATGAACATTTGTGGAGTGAGGTACAAACACTTAGACCACCTGGGATTTTGTTTTCATTCTTGGTATCTTGTCAAGATTGTTTAGTTTTAGGTGGATTATGTAATTCAACAAATGGACCAAATTTTGTTCTATGGAAGGTTGATGAGAAAACAATGGAGTTTAGTGAACTTGCTATAATGCCTCATGAATTGATGTATTGTTTGTTTGATAGTGATGAAGATGACAAATTTGCTAGTTTGAAATGTGTTGGATTGGGGAATCTTGTTTATGTGTACAATGAAGAACATCATAAGAATTATCCTGCTTGTGTTTGTGAATTTAGTAATGATTTTGGGATGTGTAGTTGGAGGAAGTTGCCTAATTTGCCACCAAATGCTAGTAAGTTTAATAGAGTGATTAGTTTTTGTTCAAATGTTTCACTAGACAACATTCTTGTTGGTGCAAGAATTTGAAGTTTCACAGGCATCGAGCAGTGTGGAGGGATGGATGAGATTCTTCATTGTCTTTAACCAGAAGTTTCAGACTTGAGGTTTGAATACGAGGAAACTCATGTGCCACTCTTGAAATTTCACAAGCAGGGAATAGATGAGATTCATTCTTGAGAGAGAAATTTATGGTGGATCGGGACTCAGGAGTGATTTCCCTATAACAAGCCCTACACTACGCTAATCCTGATATTTAGGATGGTTTTTTCATTCATAATAGTATATGTACGTTTAGAAATATAATAGTATATGTGTACCTTTTTTTTCATGTTGATGAAATTTTCAGTTAAGACTTCAGGTAGTATTAATTATTTTTAAGTTATGCAATCCATTTTTTTTTCGTTTTGGATCTAATAAAGGTGAAAAGCAAATAGGGAAAGTGAATATATACTCGATTTCGAGATCACCATTTAAGCTATATAAGGCAAAACAAAAAAAATTATATAATTGAAGTTAAATCATTGTTGCTTAAGCTCCAAGGATATGTGACTGAAAATTGAACTATTTTACTAAAATTTAATTATTTTTAAGCTAACTGAAATTATATTTTAAAAAATTAAATAATAGCTTAAAATATGATAAGTTATTCAAATATTAGACAGTAAGATTCATAAATATATTAGTAAAAAACATAAGATTAGAGTCTAAGATTATCTAGAAGAATAGTTTTCAAGAACTATATATATTTTTTGGATTTTCTTTCATGTGTTTGATACCTACATCGAAACCCAATTAAATTTGAATTTATGCCAGAAAGTCTCATACGAGTAAAACACTCCACTCCGCCACAACCCTTGTTGGTAGACTATATTTACCCAAGTTTTAAATTTAAGAACAAAATACAACTAATGACCTAAAAGGGGTTATTTGTACAAACTATCTCTTTATTGAACCTCGTGGCCCGTTTAATTTCGGGCCTCAAAATAAGCCCAAAAATTCACCTGATAACAAAACAAACAATTAGCTGCTGCCGCTGTTTCTGTTAAGGGTTTACAGTTGTTTCTCTGAAGAACAAGAGGAGGGTTTTAGGGTTTTTGTTTATCAGAACAAAAATGGATAGGTATCAAAAAGTAGAGAAACCGAAGCCTGAATTACCCATTAACGAGAATGAGATCAGAATTACTTCACAGGGACTTGTAAGAAACTACATCAGCTATGCTACTAGTCTGCTTCAGGTATAACACTCACTTTTTTTTTCGTAACTGGTAAAGTTGTTGTCAAAAGGTCTTGGGTTGAAGCTTTAGCGCACTGGACTGCTTCTTTTTTATTGTGACAGTTTTGACTGTGTTTTTGGTATTATTGTTATGCATGTATATATAGGTTTCCATTGGTTGTTCACAGGGTCACTCCAGAAAGTGAAACTGTTTGCTTTTTTCAGCTGTTTTTTTGCTGCCCCGATGAATTGGTGTTGTTTGATTGATTGGATTGATGTTTTTTTGGGCAATGGTTTGGGATAATTGTGGAATCATTTACTGACAGTGTTAAAATGTTCGGCTTTTCGTCCCTAAAGGTGTTATTTTTGGTTTGGATGATTGCATGCATTTATATTTCGTGTGCCTTCGTTGACAATGTAATATATGGATTGAGATTTTTATTCTTAAGCTGTGAAATAGTGTGGTCTATTTGAGTGCGATCATTGCTCTGTGTTTGTAGGATGTTGCTACTAACTATTCGTAACTTTTGGAGTTCTCGTGGTCGTGCATGTTAAAGTAGTATTTGTACCTAGTAGTTCCATTAAAACAGAGTCAATGTGCATATATCTTTTGCTGTCAATATACAGGCTTATGTTTATTACTTTAACATGACAATCACTTGAGGGTATTCATGACCTGTGCCTAGAAGAATTAATGATCATACCTGCATATTGTCTCTGCGATTGATACTTTATTTTTATTGCTGCATTAATACTTAGTGCAAGGAGGATTTCAAAAATTTGCTCGGGCACAGGAAACTGGTGGTTATAATGGTTCTTCAACACATTGTAGAAGTTACATCTTGATAGGACAGCAAGACAATTAGATTTCCCTGCAATTATTTATCCAAAACTTCTACACAGAGAATAATCTGGTGTTGTATATGTGGTCTGACAAGAATAAGTAAGATCCTAAGCTGAGGCTGTTTTGATGGTTCAATTTTTTGAAATGGAGTACCATAACTGAGAATTCAGTAGTAGCTGAGTTAAATAATTTTGCTTTTCAACTTATAAAAGCTGGCAGTTGATTCCCTATGGTTCAGCAGATGAAAGGTGAAAAGGAGAGTTTATGTAATTGTTTAGTGATATTCTTTGAAGATGCCAAGGAGAGTACTTCTGATCTGTTCTTGGCTCTGAGAATCTTTCTTGTGTGTTTCCTATAATCAATTGCTTTGTTGTTGCCTTACTTCAAGCAAGAAATACTTGTAGGCTTGTAGCGTTATGATCTTTTGATAATTCATTCCATCCCTAAGGTTGAGGGTTGAAACTGCATTGCAGATTATATCTCTCTCATTTTTTGGTGGACTGTAACCAGAAACTTTTCAGAAGTGGCTAATAGAAAGTTTTATGACTATTGGCTATTCAGGAGAGGAGTGGGAAAGAGATCATTTTGAAAGCAATGGGTCAGGCAATAAGCAAGACTGTAGCTGTTGCAGAGATCATTAAGGTAGATTGCCTGCTTCTTTTTTTTTTTTTTTTCCATTACACTTTCTATATTTACCATATTCAGATGTAATTCATTGTTCAGAGAAGAATTCCTCATCTGCATCAAGATGCTGCTATCAGCTCAGTGAGCATCACAGATGTATGGGAACCTATTGAAGAGGGCCTTTTGCCGTAAGTTTGAAGTCTTGCTAACTTTCTCAAATTTGTTTGTTCCTAACTGCCTATCATGTGGGATAAGTCTAAGGTTTACCTTTTATTCTACAATTGGGTGCATTGCATAGCTGTGGTTCTGATTCTTGTTAATGTTGGTTTTCTTTGTAATAGTGTGGAGCAGACTCGGCATGTCTCAATGATTTCAATCACCTTGTCAACAACGGAACTGAACAAGGACTCTCCAGGGTAACCCTTTGCTGTATTCATTTTTTATTAGGATGTTCTTTCAGACCTTAACATGCTTACTCGAGTGCAAATTTATCTTACCTTATTGAGTCATGGTTTATTGTGATAATTCCTTTTTTCTTTTCGAGTCTTCTGGCAGAAATTTTTCTTCTCTATGGTTTGCTTGATTTACAAAACATCTTATGTAAGTTCATGTTCATAGGTATCAAGCACCTTCTGAGATTCAGCAGACTAATTACTACAACAACAATAACAACAACTATGCCCCACGTTATAGTTACCAGCCTCGACAGCAGCAACCCCCACCTCGACAAGCACAAGTAGTTTACAATGCTGGTAATGAAGGTAATGACCTGCTAACTAACAGAATAATTATATAACAATGATTCATGTGAAATTTTGCTACATCCTCAAAAATTACCATAACTTGATTTAGATTCATATGACCGAGGGCGTGGTCGAGGCCGAGGGCGTGGTAGAGGTAGGGGACGTGGTTGGAACAGAGGTGGATATACAAATTACCAAGATGGATATGATAACTATCAGGGTATTCTTCCTTACCTCAAGTATTTTTTTTTTGGTTTGGAGGCTCTAACACTTCCTGGCATTGATGTATATTATTTCATTTTGATAGAAAATGGTGGGTACTCAAACTGGGGGCGAGGTGGAGGCCGTGGTGGCTGGGGATATCGTGGTAAGCATGGATACGTCATTTGTTTTCTTCTCCACCTTACTAGCTTATATCATGTTATAAATGCATTTTTGGTTCTTAATATTTTTATGTTGTGGTGTCAGACTCTGGATATGGAAGAGGCAGGGGTGGAGGTGGCAGAGGCTATGGTTATGGTCGTGGACGTGGACGGATGGGAAACCGTCCAAGGGGTGGCAATAACAACCAGGCTTAGTTGTTGATTGGATCTCTAGTTTGCTATACCTTAAACGCTGCCTTGGCATAATGGTTTTCTTTTGTCCAATGTCTGTCTGTCTAAAAAAAGCATGAAATTATTATGGCTTGTTGCATCGACGGGTTGTCTTGTTTTCCAGCATCATTATATGTGGGCTAGGCATATTTATCTCTACTAGTATTTATGCAATTAGAACATATTCTTTTGTTTATCTTAAAATGTCTAATCATTTCTTTATTTTTACTTCATGTTTTGGTACTCTCTTATGAATATTTATCCCTGAGATTTCAAGATGACAACTTCCTTCAAATCTTAAAAATATAATCCTCTATAGCATCCCAGATTCTTATTTGTTGACTGAAGAATGTCTCAAATAAGAATAGAAAGAGAACCGGAGAAATTGAATTTCTGCTCGTGTCTATTGCATTGTTAAGCCTTAAGTTTTACTTACCTTAAGGTAGAAGGTACCTTAAATTCTTTGGCGTAGAAGCAAATATACCTTACTGTTAAGTTTGAGAAATTATCACATATTCTGTCGGTGTTAGCTAAGAAATAGCAGTCAGAAGATATGATACAATACAAAGAAAGAGAGGAACCACATGTTATCATGCGTGAAAAACTCTACTTCCCTCGCAAACGGAATAGACCTATGCTCAACCCAAAACTATGCCAAAACATTATACAAAGTTGACGGTCCTAAAAAAATAATCAACCAACACCATCCTGCTGGGGCTAAATTTGTAGAGTAAATCCCAGTTGTTGCATAACAGAGAACTACTACTTTAGTTGGTTGACACTGTCTAGTAAATTATTCCAAGGCAGCCAGGCATAAACAAAAGACAGAAAATAGAGCAATATGTACTATATTCACCGGGTCGTTCAAATTTTGGATCTTTCAAAAGTTTACTACACGTGAGCTCCCAAGGAGAAGCTTTCAGCAGTAAGTCACTTCACAGCATGACAAGCTATATAGGCACTTCATCATACCTCCACAGCATAGAGCAAAATGTATCATTCAAAAAATAA